GGAAGGGTGGAGGGGGTGAAGGGAGGGCTGGGGATAGGGAAAAAATAAGAACCAAGATGCATCATGTAAAGGTACAAGTTCCCAATGAGAAATGTAAATGTGTTGTATACCTAAAATGTACCAATAAAAGAATTTGAGGGAAAAAATATATTCTTTTTTTTTTCTGCTATCAATGATTGAACTCAGGACCTTGTGCTTGCCAGGCAGGCATGGCTCCACTGAGCTACATCCCTGGCCCTATTAAAATATTCCTATGAGATTAAAGCAGAAAGAAGGAAGTTGCTCTTTGCATCTTTCTCAGGATTGCAATCAAGATCTTCATGCAGTAAGGCAAGAAAATTAATGTACAACCAACATTGCTTCTCAACCTTTTGGCTAAGATCAAGTGTAATGTACAACCAACAATGCTGAAAGAAGAAATAAATATGTCCTTTTCTACCTAAAATATTTTTCTAAATATTGTCTTCACTTGGAGCCCAAACATTCACACCAAATTCACTTCATCCCATCTTTTAACCCTGAAATTTGCTCAGGTGTGCCTTCTCCTCTTATTTGCTAGAGCTTGACACCTTCTAATCCACAGTATGACTGGGACCACAAATGCCCTGATTCTTCTCCTTCCCATCAACAGCACAGTAAGCACTAGCAAGATAATTTCTATATTTTGTGGACATAAACATGTCATGTGCCTAGAAACAGGCCTGATACACATAAGCTACCCCATAAATATTTACCAAGATACTGATCAAAAATATGAATATTCCGTTCATGTGTACAACTCTGGATGCATGCTCTAATTCTCCTCATTCTTTCCCTTGCCATCCTCCACCCTCAGTCATCCTGTGAAGAGGGAGGATTTGGCTTTTGGAAAGAAATGACTAAAAACTATGGGTGGACATTGATTTGTATCCTTCTCTCATTCATCACATCTCAGAGTCCTCATCTCATGTTCCATGGGGATTTTGTTTTTTTCAAAAGTTTACTTTCCCTACCTGGTTCAGACATTGCTACTGGATGTCTGTTTAAATTGCTCATAATAGCATTCAGTGCCTTACATGGCCCCAAATGTTTCTCAGAGGTAATCTCCACTCCCAATGCAGACTCTGTCACTGCACAAGCAGATGACATGATAATCACTCCCTTTGAGGAGGTGAGATCATAGTGTCCTGAACCTTTACCACACACTTCACACACAATGCTTCTGTAGTTCCAGGGGAGAGTCCAAATGTGGTAAACAGCTCCTCCCTTCAGGTGAGTAAAACTTTCTTAGAAATTTCTATGTCAGTAAATCCAAGATTTTCTGTTCTTTAAAAAAAAATGTCTTCCTGAGATTAGAAGCAAAAACTCTTATGTAGATCATACATACATACATACATGCATGCATACAGACACAGACAGATAGATGATAGATACATAGATGATACATAGCTAGTGCACATATAGGTAGTCAGATTATATATGAATGGTTGCTAAATAGATGACATGCATATATGATCAATAATATATAGCAGATGATAGAGAACTAGACAGATAGATGATAGATAAATAGGTAAGCAGAGGCATCTGGCCAATCTTGTCAGCCTGCCTAGGGCTGCCTGGCATCTCACCTCTCTCCTCTCACTTCGTCTTTCAGAAACTCCTCTTGCTCGCCTTACACTAAGCACACTCCCCACTGGAGGGCTCACTCTGAGCACTGCAGGGTATAGCCCTGCTTCTAACGATAAGATGAGGAAGGTGAGCTCCCACTCCGGGAGACACAGCGTCTGTGGTACCAGCTGCTGCTGTGTGGATGCATCTGATGTTTCTCTGTTTTGTGCAGGCTTCTGCAGGGGCGTGCTGTGCCAGATGGAGCACTTGACACTGTGCCTCTAACTTTCCGTCACCAGCAGAATTCAGGTAATCACACCCCTCATTTAGACCATTGAAAGGCTCATTTGTCTGTCATTTGTAGAAGTGAAAATATTATGAAAACTTGAATACAACAAAAATGATTGCGCATGTGCAAAAATATAGTAATAAGGCCCTTACATCTCAAACTACAAAGGTGACTCAGGCATTTAACCACATTCTAAAAGTCCTTTGTATGTTTATCTCACAAGAACATAAGAATTAGCCGCTGCCCTACTTGGGCTGCCATTCTGGACTGACACATTCCTGTATCAACAGCCTCCCTCCTCTCTCTCTCTCTCTCTCTCTCTCTCTCTCTCTCTCTCTCTCTCTCTCTCTGCCTAGCTTAATCACATGTGCCCAACTCAACCACATATACTACTTAATAATTCATTTCAAAGGAAAAGAAAATCAAAAGAATTCTTACTGGTCACATGTTAGATTACCCGTCTACCCTCCACCACCCTGCGCTCTGAGAGCATGAAGATCCTCCCCAGGTCTCCATAGCACCTCCAGGTGACACCTCTTGAAATGATGCCTGACCCTTTCCACTTTCCCTTCCCTTATTTTATTTACCATTTTTCATTACACTATTTGTTCTTATATTTTTATTTCAGCCTCAAAGGGTGTCATAAAATTATAGTTATTCAGGAGCACAAATCCACAACTCTATGAAGTTAAGGTGAAGCTAACGTTGACACTAGCTCCCTGCTGCTCCCAGCCTTCAGAAAGCACAAGGCTGGCACTTGGTGTGGATCCTCCAGGAGAGATTTCCCCAGGAGCTCGCAAGCTCCCTCTGCTGGACCTCGGCCTGGTGAAGCCTGCTCGGTCCCTATCCAAGTCCTGAGACTCCAACTCCGCAAGGAATCATTGCTGGTGAGGTTAGGACCTTGAAACCCACAGTCAGGACCCACTGGTTAACTGACATGTATGTTTCACTTTCACCCTCTAAACATTAATGACTACAATTACACAATGACGAACACAACTGAAATAAGATTCCAAAATACCTAGATCTTCTCTTATTGAAAATAAACAGCTCTGAAAAAAATCACAACTTTCAGACTCTAAAGAAAGGCTGCTGACATATAGTGTGTTAGTAAGAGTAATGTTTTTTGAACGATGTAGATATGTACACTTTATGCATGCAGAACGTTTCAAATGACTTCTTTTTCATACCTCTTAATTTATTCCAATTTTTGAATAGTATTTAATTCATTGTGGTTTGTGACAGAAACAAAATTTAAATTCTGTATTATAGAAATATAAGCCATAAGATTTTGTCATGTTAATATATGTTAGATTTAAAATAATATAATGTCCTTTGCAATTTTTTAAGAATTTTTGTTTATTTGCCAAGCAGACTTATTTTTAAACATGTAAATGTAACTAGTAAGTATTGACTGTTCATATATTTGCCATCACTTGTTTTTCATCTTTCATTTTCTTAGTAATATCATTTCTCACACTAGTGTTGATAGCTTCCTATTATATGTTGTATCTAATTAAATATTTTACATTTAATTTTAATATGCATAATACAGTACTTATTGTTTGTTAAAATATATAAAGGTAACTGGTTTGAACTACATAGAGTGAAGATTTCACAAATTTAAATTATAAAAATACATTACCTTCATTCATTTTAGTTTGTACCTATTTGTACAATTGTGATATTTTGTAACTAATTGAGAAAAGTTAGAAATATTGTCATTTAGATTGGAATTATTAAATAGCATATCTATGCTATATTCAAATACCTATGAATTTTATATTGGGCTGTTTCTCTGTTACTGTTTTCCAATTCTCATATTTAATAGGTTTAAATTTCACATCTATTTTTGTTTAAATTACTAATTTTAATCCAATGTTGCCACATTTTAAATAATAAGTTTATATTTTCTCAATGAATCTAACCAAGATATTTACCAAAACTTTATTTGGAATCTAACTTTGAGATGATTTCTTAGATATTTTCTCCTCCTGCCTTGTATATACTCTTTATGGGTTTAGTGGGGAGGTTGTTTTCTTTTGGCTCTTTTTTCTTTTTTGAGGTATTGAAAGCCTGCTCCCACACATACTTCATAAGTGCCCTACATACTCAGCATTATTTGGATTGGGCGGGGGGGGTTGCAGTGCTGGGATTGAACCTAGGCCCTCATGCATACTCTACTACTAAGCTACATCCCCAGCACTTGGATTTTTTAATTGAAATTTTTAGAGACAACTGGTGATTCATTTGCTGTTGTATGAAGTAATACAGAGAGATCCCATGTTTATTTTACTCAATTTACTCCACTGATACCATTTTGCAAAACTATGTTATAATATCAAAATAAAAGGGTAGCTTAGGGGTAGACTGCTTCTCTAGCATTGTGGGGCTCTGGGTTCTAGCCCAGGTGTTTCATAAAAATCCAAACAAAAACAAAAAATTTTAAAAGAATCATGACAATGACACTATGTACTGTGATTCAGATATCATTACTTTTACTTACAGTTAGAGGTGTATGGTTGTCTGTTTGGTGTGAGTTTTGAAGCCATATAAAGGCTTTTGTTATTATTGTTACTCTGGATGGACCATCAGTTTGACACACAGTTAAAGTAGTTTTTTTTTACTCATTTAATTTTCTTTCTTGGATTTAAAAATTTCATGTTGATTCAACATTGTTTAAATATTTCAAAAAGTTCTTAGATTTGCATAACTCAAAACTGTAAATTTTTAATGTAACTTTTCATGCCTGTTGATCCAACCTGTCACATTTCTGTCCTTAAATGTACCCTCTTTTGCACAACTGAAAGACAGGGCACATGTTGTGTAGGAGTCACCGTCCTTCGCTTAGGAATACATCTTAGAGGAAATTTCACGAGTCACTTCTGGTGTCATGTAGTGTACGCATTCCTGTGAACTACAGACCAGTGCACACTCCACATAGGAATCCCAGAACTCACTGGGACCCAAACAATGTCATAAATGAAACTTTTGAAAAGTAGAGCCTGGAGTATTAAGATTACAGCACAGATTTACACATGATAGGAGTGTGAAAAATATACAAATGAAAACAAATATGGCACTTTGGAAAGTCTGAAAATTTCTTTCTGAAGTGGATGTTGAAGTCCTGTAGCTTGGGTGTTAAAGGAAAGGAGTAGGAGGTTGCCTAAGCTCACATCAAAAGTTGAAACATCAACAGTGGGTGGATTCACTTCTACCAGGTGGCAAACTGTGCCAGCTTGCAGGTGTTTAGTTGTGGGGTTCTATGGATTTTATATTACTGAACTGCAGATTTCAGCTGAGTGAAAATTTCTCCATTCATCTAGTCTTTTTTGTAGACAAAACAGCTATAAGCAAACTTAAATTTTTCTATGAGCTCAAAGTGTGTCCTAATTTGTCAGTCTTCTTTGGAGAAAGAATGAAACCACACTAGTTGGATCAGTACACAGAGATCTTCATTCATGTCTGCGGTTGCAGAGATCTGTGGTCCACTTGTGCTCCCCCTCATTAACCACTTGGAAGTGGACACCCTACTGCTTCCAGTGTAATTCTTCATTGATTGCCTTTGTGCAAATAAGCATAAAGCCTACATGTCCAATTAAAGTGAGAAAATATGACATAGGACACACACAGACTAATTGTGTCCATCTTGGTGTCAAGGCATTTATTGCTCTTCCTTTTCTACTGGTTCCTCTGAAATCAGATGATGTCAACAGCCCCAGACTTTGATGCAATGGCTGCAGGAAATTTGGATTTGGGGATTATCTTCCTCACTCAGACTGCAGTCGGGGTCTTTGGAAATTCTTTCCTCCTTTGTTTTTACACCTTCTGCCTGCTCACTGGACACAAATTGAGACTCACAGACCTAATTCTCAACCAACTGGTCTTAGCCAACTCTCTGGTCCTGCTCTCCAAAGGGATATTGCAAACAATAGTGGCATTTGGGTGGAACTCTTTCCTGGACAATGTTGGATGTAAACTTGTCTTCTATTTTCACAGAGTAGCCACAGGGGTTTCCTTCAGCACTGTCTGCCTTCTCAATGGGTTCCAGGCTATTAAGCTCAACCCTAGTATTTGTAGATGGACGGAGCTCAAGATTCAATCCCTAACATTTATTGGGTTCTGCTGTTTCCTGTGCTGGATTCCGAATCTCTCAGTAAATTCATGCATCATTGTAATAGTGAATGGTCCACTCAATTGCAAAAATGTTACTGTGAGAACCAGTTGTGGACACTGCTCCTGGGCAATGCCAGAGAGATATAGCTCGTTATATGCATTCTTATATTTTTCCCTTGACTTTATCAGTGTGGGCTTCATGATCTGGGCCAGTGGCTCTATGGGCCTGGTCCTGCACAGACACAGGCACCGAGTCCAGCACATTCGCAGCCACTGCTTCTCCCCCAGTCCTTCCCACGAGGCCAGAGCTACATGCACAATCCTGATCCTGGTGAGCTCCTTTGTTACCCTTTATTCACTCTATACTATTTTGACCATTTGGATGACTCTAGTCTCAAATCGTGGCCAGTGGATAGTGAACAGCTCTGTGCTGGTGGCCTCATGTTTCCCAGCATTAAGCCCCTTTGTGCTCATCGTCAGGGACTCCAGAATCTCTCTGTTCTGCTTTGCCTGCAGGGAGAAGCAAATTGTTCTTCCTAAGTAGTTGAAGTTGTGTGAATTTATTCTCCTCTTTGCATAGAGTTATTTCAACATTTGTTAACATTTAGTTATCTAATATATTATAGGAATTTCTGATGTCATGGCAAAGAAGACCAATAATGTACTTGTGCACATGGATCTTCTAATAGAGCTAAAATAAGCCCTGCATACTTACTTATGAAAGATTGCTTGGTCTACTTGTGTTTCAGAAAAATCTGAAATAGTGTACTACAAATTTCTAACTTTGGCCAATTAGTGCACACCCATCACTTTTGGCCTTATGAGAATACATGGAAGTAATGTTTTACAAATACATATTCTTAAGCATAATTGGATCAAGTTCTTCCTGATAGACAAAAAGCTACTGCAAAGTCCTGTGTTAAGAATGACAGATGAAACCTCAAGGGAGGGTGAAATCCCTGGTGTGACCAGGGTGCATACCAATGTAGAGAGCAATAATACAAGACTCTAAATAGAAATGTAATACCTGGTTCTAGGTGCACACTTAGGAAAGGACAAGAAACAGACATTTCTTTGAACATTATAATTGCAATACATATTAGTCTGGTCAGGTATTAGGCTAGAGATGGAGAGCAAACTATGGGTAAAATAAATCAGTTATCCTTATTTCCAATTAAATACAAAATATTTAATTCCAACATTTTCTATTTAATAATTTCATCTTGGTACATTAAATTTTATACATGATCTTTAATTAGTCCTCAAAGAAAATGTATTATCAATTTGTAATACCCAGAATTCAATTTCTATCATTTACAAAATACTATCTTACCTATTTTCACCTGAGCAACAAATTTCAAAAGAGTAAAGCTGATTTTGAAAACATCTATTATCTTCTAGTAAGCTGAGACCACTATTTTTTAATTAATTTTATTGGTTCATTTTAGTTATGCAATATAATGACATTCACCATTGGAAATTTTTGCCTTTACGTAATCTCTCTTGGTTCTTCTTTTTTCCCCATTCCTGTGCCCTCCCTCTTTACAAAGACTTCCTTTCCATTTTATTTTCTCATATTAATTCCATTCTCTTCTTTCCTTTCCCCTCCCCCTCCCAGTTCCCCTTCCCCTTTGGCCCTTTCCTTCCTTTTTCACATTATCTGTTATACATTTTGAACCTTACTTACACTATCTGTTTCTCACACTAGAGAAACTATTCGGTATTTACACGTGTGTCTTGTTTATTTCACTTAAGAGTATCACCTCAATGTGCATCCATTTAGCTATAAATGTCTCTAATTTCTC